GAGAGAGTTGGGTGTCACAGAGAAAACCACTTTGGACTCTCCAAATGCTGTGTATGTGTGTAGAGATAGAGAGAGAGAGAGAGAGAGTTACTTGGATGCCACAGAGCAGACCACCATGGGCCTCTGAAGCTGGAAGCGCAAGGCATGAGAGCTCCTTGGCCTGCATAGTTTGTTGGTGGGAAGGAAACAAGTCTTGGAAGAGGCCTGGTAATAGCATGAGGACTCCGCCAGGGCCATCAGACCACAACTTCCTTCTCCCTCTCTTCAGTCTTTACCCACAAACCATGCAGCAGAGGAATGAAATGAAGCGCGAGTGAAGAGAGAGAGAAGACGAGAGGACACAGGATATAAAGAGAGAGAGAGAGAGAGAGAGGGAGAGAAAATGGATGGCGGGGTGAAGTGTTCTGAGGCTGGCAAACTTCCATGTGGCGGGGAGGAAGCATGATCCAAATCAAACAACACGTTCACTCTCTAACTTTTGTTATGTGTATATCTGATCGCACGGGCACATCTTTTGTTCCACTTCCACATGTTTAAAGGTGCCCACCAGGGCGGGCCCTCCTTACAGGTTTAGCTCGGTCTTACCAAAACAAATAAAAAAAAAAATTAAATAGCCTTAGCCCAGCTTTTGGGCCTTTACTATCCCTTGCCCTAACCCGGCCCTCGTGCAACAGTTCATGGCCCAGGTCATATATTTTTTTTTGGAAAGAACGACCTGCGTCACTATCCATGTCATCGTATGTCCTATTCCTACGTGGACAAAGCACCATGCAAGCCTTGCACGTATCATAGCCCCAAATCCCTTGTAGTTATAAACTCGGGACCGGGCATTCCATTAAAATCTAATTTTTTTAAAATTTTAATTTTAAAATCTATTAAAATTTTGTGATTTTAAAAGATCTTAAAAAAATCATATTATTTTTTATCGTGTGGTTTGTGTAGAGCTTATGCTCTAAACAATCAAATTAAAGCCCGCCTTCAAATAGTGTCGAGAAAAGTGGATTCAATATTGGAAATTTTTTTGATAGCTTTAAAATATATTTTCATCTTTATTTATAAAGTTTAAAGCTTAAAAAATAGTGTAGATCTAGATCGAGAGATCTATGAAAAGTAGAAAATCTTGAAAATTGATGATCTAAAAATGCATTACAAAATACACTATTTCCAAAACATGAAATCTATTTTTTTCTCATGTCCATACGCGAAATGATCAATTTAAGGATATTTAGGAATCAAAACAACATCTTCTAGTGAAAATTTTGATGTAGGCTCTCATTTGATTGTTTAGAGCCTCAGCTGTATACAAACTTTTCCCAATTTTTTACCAGTTGTTTCTTGCGGGCTGGACCGCATTTCTACAATATGCGGTCCAGAGGTATAAAGCATCCATCTTAAAGATGGATGCAAATAGGTGGTCCATATAAAAACAATTGTAACTAACAGTACAAATGTTTTCTTAATGTAATTATTATTTCAAGTTCTCAAAATTTATCATGATCTCCATGTTAAAAATTATATATTCTCTAAAAATTAGGATCAAATTATATTTTAAAAATATATTTATTGCTAAGCCCGTATTTCTACATTATGCGGGCTGACCGCATAGAAACCGTGTCCATAACTAAAACTTCAAGTACTTTCTATCTCTAAAATTTCATATAGTTTTTCTTTCTAAATTTTTTAAGATACTTGCTCTCTTTAAAACTTAAAATTTTAGATAGTTTCTCTCTCGATAAAATTTTCAGGTAGATAATTTCTCTCTCTATACTTTCGTTTCTCTTTCGATAAATTTCTCAGGTACTTTTCATCTCTAAACTTGATATAGTTTCTATACGTAAAATTTTAATATACTTTCTCTCTAAAACGTAAAATTTGATATGGCTTCTCTCTCTCAAAACTTTGAGATATTTATCTCTCTAAAATTTTTAAGTAGTTTATCTCTCTAAAATTTATCTCTCTAAAATTTAATATAGTATCTATCTCTAAAATTTTAATATACTTTTCTCTCTCTAAAACTTATGATTTGAGAAGGTTTCCATCTCTAAAATTGTTGATATAGTTTCTATCTCTAAAAATTTCCAAGTACTCTCTAAAATTTGATATAGTTTCTTTATCTAAAATTTTAAGATGCTCTCTATAAAACTTTAAATTTGATATATTCTCTCTCTAAAATTTGATATAGTTTTTCTCTCTCTAAAACTTCAAATTTGAGATAGTTTCCCTCTCTCTCTCAATTTTTTGAGATAGTTTATCTTAGTGTAGGAAAAAATTGAACCAGAGTAGTTCACTAGACATGGGGCCGGAAGCGGTTCAACTAGCTTAGCTGATAAACCAGCCATTTCAACTGGCCTAGATGGTAAACTCCCCTAACAGGGTAAGTCCGGGGTGGTCCAAAACGTGTTAAGAAAAAATAAAAAAATAAAAAAATATGAAAAATATATTTAGGCATCATTAAAACAATGCACATCCAAACGAAGTTGAAAATTATGCCATGGGGTAATTTTAAGATTTTGAAAAAATGATGAGAAATGTAAAAAATGAGTATTAATGGCCAAAACAATTTTCAATCTTTGCCAAAAAGATAAAAACATTAAAAAAATGCATTACAAACAAAATCCCTTATTTTTGAGATTTTATATAAAATATTTTGGATTTTTTTAAAATACCCACCCCGTTCACCAAAACTGTTCATAACTGAAACCGGCCAGTAGCTGGTTCGATCTAACTGAGCGGTTAGAATTTGAAGTGCCAGATTTTTCTTATACATGGGTAATTTATCTTCTTGGTTTATGAGTTTTCTAATTCGTGCTCTTAACTGAGGTTTGTTTTGCTACGGTGATAGAGAATTATAGGATCTCCATGAATAGTGTTTTCCAACTAAGACAAAGTGTCATATATTTGTTTTCTAACTTACTGTAAAATATGAATAAAAATTCTTTTCAAGAAAAAACACATGAAAATTACTGCAACCTCAACAAGTATTAGTTATTTCATTTTGTTTTGCATTTCGTATTATAGTGAGAGGATTGGATAATAATCCTCATGAGCTTATTTCCTCTGAGCTGAGTTTATTTCGTCTGAGCTAAAAGAGGGGATTTGTCTCCATTAGAACTTTTGAAATTTGTTTTTTACCTTGATGATGATGGAATGGACTATGGTTTTTATAGTGAATTTGATCGTAGCACACTTTCCCATAAAGTAATTTTGTTTGATTAGTTGTTATTAAAAGTTTATTAATAACTGATTTTGTTTAGGCTGGGCTCGATTGTTTTTGTTATTTAATCACCTGTGAATATGTGATTTAATATGGTTTAGTTGACAAATTCATTTTTTACATCTTTATAATATGAGAATAATAAGTGACATGTGGTTATCATCAGAGACGTCAATGATCACCTTGTTGTATGAAGCCATTTGTGACTTTTACAGGGGGGCTTGTTCATCGTCATGAAATTGAACAATTAGTTTGTTGATTTTTTTTTTTTAAGTTTATCATAGAATCTTGACGTCTTGCTTTGCTAGCGGTTAGCATTATATATGATTTTTTGCTAGAGTTTCAATGAAAGGGATCGTAAATTTTAGTTGAAAAACTCAAAAAATATTTCAAGAGGAGAATTATTCAAGTAAATTCTTTATACCATTATTTTAATATTTGTATAGAAAACATTACTCATTGAATCTTTTTAAAACTCTATTACATCCTGGATGTAATGCGCCTAACTCTACTTGTTTTCCTTTAGGTATGGGTCCTTAGCCTCCTACTAAAGACACCGAGCCCAACAAGAAAGCCAAACACTACTATTAGATCCTATTCAAGATGACTTCTTTCTTGATCTCATGGTAAATAAGGTCTAGGCAAAGCAAAAAATTCAACGAAATTTTACTCCACATGCTTGGAAAAAAATGATAAAAGCAATGTAAGATAAGTACGGGGATGACTTTGGAGATGGCTTTGATAAGGAACAACTAAGAAATAGATAGAGGATGCTAAAAACTACCTTTCAACATGTGAGACCCTCCTCCAAAGCAAATCCGGCAAACTGGTCGCAATAGAAGACGCTGTTTGAACCGAATGGCAGGCGGTGAGTTTACAACACTAATTTTCTAGGCGAGTCAATTGTATTTTATATTTATAAATGTTTAGATGGACATATGAAAGAAAGACCTATTTGATCTTTTGTCGAGAAAATATAATTTTTTTTTTTTATAATAATCATCCCTTATAATTTTGGCAACAAGATCACTCACAGACGGTCTTATCACAAACAATAGAAATTAAAAAAAAAAAAAATCTCAACTACTTGATGCCATTCATACAACCTAATAATGTGCTTGAGAATATAAAATAAAAAACTTAACAAATAAAAGAAAAGATATTGGAGATTACCTCAACCGGGCTTTTTACACCCATACCGAGTCACCACATCCAATGGCGTGAGATCAATGATCTAGCTTCTATCTCGAACCAAAATAGCTGATTTCGGCCAAACTAGATAATCACCCCTTTAAAAACTCTACTAAAACTTTAACCCCCAAAATTAACTTATATCAACTTAGATCTAGAGAGGAGAGAGAGTACCACCTAAAATTTGAAGAGAGCAAATTACAGAGAGAAAGATGGAGGAGAAAGAGTGGGGCATTCCCCTCTAAGAGAGAGAGGTTGTGTTGAGATTGGGGGAGAGCACCCCTATTTATAGTGAATATTTACGTTTAGGATTTTTTAGCGTTTTCCTATAGTTTGCCTCTTTCATAAGATTGAATCTAGATCCTTGATCAAGGTGACTGGTGGGATGAGAGATTTGAGTCATCCATTCCATAGATGGGCCATCAATATTATGGAAGATGCTTGGACCATTATCCCCTTTCCTTAAACCATTTTCCGATCAATATATTTAAATAAAATAAATATAATGCATTCTATAAAATTGCACGATCCATGTCAAATATTCCATAAAGATAAATAATATCAAGTAGATAAATACTACTAAATATAAATAAGATAAGATTTATATCAATTCAAATTGACCATATCTCTTTAAAACAAACTTGCTACAAAATAGATAAAGCCATAGTCAATATATCCCTTCCAAGATTTGACCACATGCTACAAATCACACTAACCTTATCTTAAAAGCAAACAAGAGAATCCAAAGAGGGTGAGGCGTACCACCCACATGTGAGCCCCCACCCACATGCCACATGGTGGGCCCATGTGCACTATGGGCTTTTATAAAAAAAAAATTTATTTTTTAAATTGAATAAAATGATTTAAAATATATATTTGAATTTTTATAATTTTGTATGAACAATAACTGTATTTTTATAAGTCCAAAAATCACAAATAAATATTTGAGAGATTAATAAAAATTCAAATAATAAAACTAAAATCATTTCAATAATAAAATAAGCACAATTAAATTAATATG